CCTACTATTACTGAGTTGGGGTTAATCTGTGTCTTAAAGTCCTGTAGTGTTGTTTTTATGAATTTGGGTGCACCAGAATTTGGTGAAAATATGTTAAGGAGTGTGATACCTTCTTGGCTAACTGTTCCTTTGATCAGAATGAAGTGACCCTCCTTATCTCTTCTGATTAGTTTTACTTTGAAGTCTATTTTGCCAGATATTAGAATTGCAACCCCTGCTTGTTTCTCAATGCCATTTGCTTGTCATATTCTTTTCCATCCTTTTACCTTAAGGTAGTGCCTGTCCTTGAAGGTGAGATTGGTTTCTTCTTGCAGGTAGCAAAGAGATTGATTTTGTTTCTTAATCCATTCGCTTAGCCTGTGTTTTTTGACTGAGGAGTTCAGTCCATTCATACTTAAGGTTATTATTAAAAGGTGTGTATTGGTGATTGCTGTTTGTGTTCTCTGTGTAATTTTGTGTTTCCTAGATTATATTTTTGTTTACTTTCTTTCGTTGCCCCAGGGTATAGTTTCTCTCTCTGCTTTCTGTATTGCTTCAAGTATTCTTTTTTTTTTTTGTCTTTTGAGACAGGGTCTCCCTGTAGCCCCAGCTGTCCTGGAACTCACTATGTAGACCAGGCTGGCCTTGAACTCACAGAGATCCACCTGCTTCTGCCTCCTGAGTGCTGGGACTAAAGGCGTGTGCCACCATGCCTTCTTTGAAGGCCTGGTTTTGTGGACATGTATTCTTTCAGGCTATTCATGTCATGTGTGGATCTCTACCTCCCCGTGTGGGCCATTGGCCACCAACCCACGAGAACAAAGGGAGCAGAAGCGATGAACAGGGTCGGGACGGCCAGTGAGCATGGATGGAAAAGACCTTCTGGGAGTTGGTTTCAGTGATATAGCTCATTTATTCAGTGGGGGTCAGGGAAAAATACAGGGTGGAAGCAGCAGCCAAAGTTTTACATGATAGGTGCTCATAGTATGCTTTATTTACATGTGGTAGGGGGATCCTATCATGTGGCTATAGAGCAATGCCTAATTATCATATAGGGAAAACTTGGGGGCAGTTTTATTGCCGGTAACTATGCCAAAAGTCATGTTCTAAATAAGGCCAGGCACCTGTGCTTGGAGGCACTTTGCAGATAAGGTCAGGCAGAGAGCAGGAAGCCCTGCTGAGAAAGGAGTTGACCTTAGCAGGGTTCCCCAACAATCATGGAAGATTTTTCTTTCCCCCTTAACTATAATAGACATTTTTGCTGGGTATAGTATTCTCGGGTGGCATCTGTTGTCATGTAGAACTGGAAATACCTTGGTCCAGCCTCTTCTGGCTTTCATAGTTTGCATTGATAAGTCAGCTGTAATTCTGATGGGCTTTCCTTTGTATGTGACTTGTTTTTCTTTTGCTACTTTCAGTATTCTCTCTTTGTTCTGTACATTTAGTGTTTTTACTATGATGTCATGGGGAGTTTCTTTTCTGATCCTGTCTATTTGGTGTTCTATGTGCTTCCTGTATTTGTATGGAGATGTCTTTCCTTAATTTCAGGAAATTCTCTTCTACTATCCTGTTTAAGATTTGGTCAACATCATTAACCTGAAATTCTCCTCTATTCCTATGATCCGTAGATTTGGTCTTTTCATGATGTCCCACATCTCTTGCATATTCCATTCCTGTGTTTTTTAAAATTTTCCATACTCTTTGCTTGAGTGGTCCAATTCTTCAACTTTATCTTCCAGTGTTGATATTCTATTTTCCATTTCATTCATTCTAGAGGTGAGGTTTTCCCCTGTTGTTTCAAGTTGGCTTATTGAGTTTTGCACTTCCTCCTTCATTTCTGCCCGAGTTTTCTTCAGTGTTTCCATCTCTTTTGTGACTTCATTCAGAAGTTTATCCCTATCTTCTTTTAGCTCTTTGTTCGTGTGTTCTTTAAATTTGTTGAATTCCTTGATCATGTTTATGATTTTCTTTTAAATTCAGTGTCCTGAGTTATCTCTAGGGGGTTCTCCTTCTAGAACTCTTCTACAGGATTGGTTGGGTTTAGTGGGAACATTTTCCATTTTATTTTTTTGTTGTGGTTTTGGCATGTGAATTTCTTTTGTTGTTTATGATTCTGATATGAGAATTATGTTGAAGTATGCTTCTGTTTGTATTATCTGGGTGCCTGGATCCTTTCTTTATTGGTTATGTAAAGCTGGTTGGTACAGGGTTCAGGTTCTCTCAGGTTTATTTTGGAGGGAACTGATGGCTTCAGATCAGCTATTCAGGGGTACCCACAGAAGCTCAATTCAGGTTCCAATCAGGTATACTCAGGCTTTCTTCACCACATGGAGGCAGGATCCAGGCTCTCTCAGGCAGTCCCGTGTCTTGTCAACCCTATACAGCGGGAGGCCAGAGAGGGGCCAGAACTCTCTGACAGTCTGCTGAGATCCCAGTTGCTACACGGATGGAGGTCTGAGCCCACCCTCTCAGGCTGTCTTGCTAGGATCTCAGCCTTAGCCTACCAAAGCCAGATCTGCCCTGGGGCCTTGGGAGGGGCCTCACAAAATCCCAGGTAGGGGGATGGTATGGGGCATTTAGGGGAAGCTCACTACCATGCATTAGCAGGATTGTGGGCTGACAGGCTGTCCCCTGGGTTCTCAGGCCCTCTAGTAGTTGGAGGCCAGAATCTGGCACTCTCTGGCGGTCTGCTGAGCTCTTGAGTTGCTACCCTGATGGAGGTCCGAACCCACCCTCCCAGTTTTTATTTTTTTAAACCATCTTAGGTTAAAAAATTTTTCTTTTAATTTTTATTTTTTTTGAAAAGAGACAGGGGCTCTTCCAGGTCACCAAGGCTGTGATATCAGTTGGTCCTTGGGTGGGGATGAGAGTATTGTGTTAGATTAGAGGAAAATCCTTAACAAGCCTGCTCTGCTTAGCAGGAGGGCCTCAGTGTGCTTTTGATGCTGTTTGAGCTCCGTCTCAAAAGGCATGGTTTAACTGGACTGTCTGCTGCCAATTGCCTTCTGGAAGCAGACCTGTCTGGTGGTTGGAAATCTTTTTTTTTTTTTTTTTTCTAATTTTTATTTATTATTTTTATTTTATGTGTATGCATGTAGGTAAGTGTACCCATGTTGTGCAGTGTCCTCGGAGGTCAGAAGAGGCTGTCAGCTCCCCTGGGACTGGAGTTAGGGACAGTTGTTAGCTGCCATGCGGGTGCTGGGATTTGAACCTGGATCTTCTGCAAGAACAACCAGTGTTCTTAACTGCTGAGCCATCTCTCCAGCCCCATGGATGGAAATCTTGACTTAAGGACAGCCCTCACTTGTGGAATGGGTTAACAGTGGCAGGAGCGCTCTCACACAGTGTTATAGCTGATGCTTTTCCTCACCACAAACCCTGTGATTTGGGCTACACAGGGCTCACTAGCCCCTTTTCATAGTTGAAGGATTAAGTAACTCATTTGAGGTCACCTAGCAAATTAGCCAAAACTCAAGGCAAGTACTCAATCTTAGAATTTCTAACTCTAAAATCCATGTTCTCCCGGGCTGGAGAGATGGCTCGGCAGTTAAGAGCAAAGGACCCGGGTTTAGTTCCCAGCACCACATGGTGCCTAACAACCAACCATCTGTAACTCTAGTTCCAAGGGATCTGACTCCTAACCTCTGTGGGCATTGCACGACATAGCTGCACTTATACATGCGGCCAGTACAGTCATACACCTAAAATAAAAATAACAACTAAAATAGTTAAAAAAAAACCCGTGTTCTTATGTTGTACCACCACCTTGATCTTTCCAGTCATTAGAAAGGCCAAGGACTGGTGGTCTCAGAGAGGTCCCTGCTGGCTTTGACTTGGAAGGAGGACATTGCCCTCTGGTCCTGCTGCTGTTTTCAAGAATGGTTTAGAGGGGCTGCATCCTGTGCTTCTTCCTATTTTTCATTTGTTTTTGGTTTTTTATTTATTATTTTTATTTTACATGTATGAGTATATTGCCTGCATGTATGTAAGTGCACTTGTCCCATGCAGTGCCCGTGGAAGTCAGAAGAGGGTGTTGGATCCCCTAGAACTATGGGTAGTCATGAACAGTTGTTAGCTGTGAGGTGGGTGCTGGGAACTGAACTTGGGTCCTCTGCAGGAGCGGCCAGTGCTTCTGACTGCTGGCTGCTGAGCCTTCTTTCTAGCTCCTGCTTTTTTTTTTTTTTGAGACAGGGTCTCCCTGTAGTCCCAACTGGCCTCTGTCGATCTCACAGAGATCTACCTGCCTCTGCTTCCTTAGCTCTGGGATTAAAGGTCTGTGCCCTCACGCCCAGCCTTTTTCCTATTGTAAGGCATCTGTAAAGGTTCTTGACTAGATCAGATTACTTGGTTTCCATCTGTCAGTTGTAGCTGGAAAGATAGCCATTGTACCTGACCCCATATGGAAATACCACATTTAACACTCCTCTTTGGCTTGCTTGCTCTGTGCATTTGAATAAAGAATATATTTTGTCCAAATAGTCTCATTATGTCCCTAATGCTTTTACTGACAGTAAAAGGTAGAGAAGAGGAAGTGTCAATGGTGTGAGCTCTAGTGAGGGTAGGCACTCAACAGAAAATGGGACCCCCAAGGCCTTTATGCAGGAAGCAGTTTCATGTGTCAGAATGGGCCCTGAAATACGGTTCTCAAAAGGCGGGCCTTGAACGGAGAGACCCAGCAGTTCATATGCTCTCTTGGCTCTCCCATACTGTCCAGTTTCTTTGTCTTGCACATGTGGTAACACACATGTCCTGATTGGGTGTTCTGTGCTACAAGGTCATACTCGGGCACAGACCACTCTTCATTCCATCTTCTTTGATTGGGGGTGGGGGTAGGGGTGGGGAACATTCCTGCCATGAGGGAAAGTGATTTTGGACTTGACAGTCCTTTTTTTTCTCCCTCTTTGGCTTCCCTTTGCTAGGATGGCAAAGTGAGTGTCACCATGCCTGTCTCCTTCTTGCTCCTGATCTTCCATGAAGCAGTGGCCAAGGAGGAAAACCCTGTGTGCATCTTACCATGGTGAAGGATCAGGGAGGCTTGGACTGTGTGGTGGGATCCTTTACTGCAGTACAACAATAGGATTGATAATGAACTTTATGTTCGCAACAATCTACATAGGTCCATTGAAAGATTTTCCCACTGTATATGTTATCATTTCTTCCCCCGTGTGTCTAGGTGAGTCGTAGAACATGGTACCTTCCTCTGCACATTTTAATGTATTCATTAAGTCATTTTTAGACTATTTACAATACCTAATACAATGTATGTGCTATATAAATAGTTATCCTGATTGTTTAGGGAATGACCCCCCAGAAGTCTCTGCATGTTGAGCATGAAAGTGATTTTTAAAGTGTTTCAGTCTGGCTGCTTGGATCTGGATGGGATGCAGTTGCAGAACAAGAGAACACCTGGTCCTGATGGAGCAGGGATGCAGCGATGGCTCCTGTGGGCCTGGTGGTAATGGGTGTGCTGTCTTCTTTCTCAGGTGAGCAATGGCAGGTGCCAGTGAGCGCAAAGGCAAAAAGGATGACAACGGCATCGGCACGGCCATTGATTTTGTGCTCTCCAATGCCCGGCTGGTGCTGGGGGTGGGTGGAGCGGCTATGCTGGGCATCGCCACACTGGCAGTTAAGCGGGTAAGTGTGCAGCTAAGACCCAGGATGGGAGGCGGTGATTCACTTTACAAAGTGGAGCTTTCCTGGAACAGATGATACTGTGGTGGGAGTGTAACTTGATTGTCTTGGCATGACTAGCTCAGTCTTAAGAGAAATCTGCTTCTAGAATTCTGCCATACAGAAAGCATTAGAGATGCAAATAAAGGAATTTATCCCAGCAAATAACCAAAACATCCTTCCTTGATTATTTAAAATAACAACCCCACCACACATAATACTCGTGTTTCCTTTTCCTATTCTTTTAAAACATTTATCTCCATCTGTATTCTTCCTGTTTAACTTGTTCATTATGTATTGCCTATATCCTCTTAGTAGACTGGACACACCTAGATGGTAGTGCTTAGAACAATGCCCAGCATTTACTAACTTCTAGTATAGGCAGCCCTGTCTGTGTGTGATGGTTGTTAGCTACTGTGTGGGTGCTGGGGACTGAATCCAGGTCCTCTGCAAGAGCAGCAAGTGCTCTTAACTGCTGAGCCATCTCTCCAGGTCCCTGAAAATGCTTTTTAAAAATTATATTTCTGGGGCTGGAGAGATGACTCAGCATTTAAGAGCACTGACTGCTCTTGAAGAGGACTTGGTTCAATCCCAGCACCCACTTGGTGGCTAACAACCATCTGTAACTCCAGTTCCAGGAGATCCAATACTCTTTTTTGGCCTCTGTGGACATTTCATGACACGGGTACACTTAAGTTACATGCAGGCAAAACACTCATACACATAAAAGTAAGAAATAAAATATTTTTAAAAAGTTATATTTGTACTGAACATATATAAACTTTTTGTGGGGGTGATCATTCCCTAAACAATCAGTATAATAATTATTTACATAGTATTTACATTGTAGTAGGTATTATAAGTAATCTAAAAATGATTTAAAAAATATATACATATATATGGATATGAATAGGTTATATACAATTATAATGCCTTTTTAAAAAGTTATTTGTTATTTATGATGTGAAGACTAGAGGACAACTTTGTGGAGACAGTTCTCCACCTCTGTGCGTTCTGGGGATCAAACTCAGGTCATCAGGCTGGCATCATCGGGCATCAAGCACCTTTACCTTTACCCATTGAGTCTTCCTGTTGACCCTGTTCTTTTGTATTGAGACAAAGTCTCACACTGTAACCTATGTTAACTTGGAACTTACTATGTATTCTTGAACTTGTGATCTTCTTGCCTCTGCCTCCTGAGTGCTGGGATTACAGGCATGGACCACCATTTCACATAAGGGGCTTGAAGCATCTAAGGACTTTGGCACACTTGAGGTGCCCAGGGACCAATCCTCTTGCTGTGCTAAGGGACAGCTGTAACTATTGGTGGAATAAATAAGTCAGTGTTTAACATGGAATATTTAGGCAAGCACTATACTGCCAAGTATGTTCCTTTCCCTTTCAACTTTTTTTTTTTTTTTGGTCTTTTTGAGATGGTCTCCCTGTAGCCCTAGCTGGCCTGGAACTCGTTATATAGTCCAGGCTGGCCTTAAACTCACAGAGATCCGCCTACCTCTCCCTCCCAAGTCCTGGGATTAAAGGTGTGTACCACCACACCCCCTGAAGCATCTTTTAAAAAAAATATATTATTTTTTAATTTTATGTGTATGAGCGTATTGCCTACATGTATGTAAGGGCACCTGTGTCATGCAGTGCCCTTGTAGGTCACAACAGGGCATCAGATCCCCTGGATCTTAACTGCTGAGCCATCTCTCCAGCTCCTCATTGAAGCATCTTTAGTAATAGGAGGAACTGATCAAAAAGTAAAAACTGGAGAGATGGTTCAGTGGTTAGAGCACTGGCTCACACACTGGTTGCTCCTGCAGAGGACCTGGGTTCGGTTCTCAGTACTCACATGGCAGCTAACAACCATCAGTAACTCCAGTTCCAGGGGATCTGACATCCTCTTCTGGCCTTTGTGGGTACTGTAAGGCACAGGTGCAGTTACATACATCCAAGCAAAACACTGAACCATATATAAAAGAAAAAAAGTGAAAACATGGTTTCAGAAGTCTAGAGAGTTAGGCTAGGGAGATAGCTTAGCAGGTAAAGGCACTTGCTGCCAAGCCTGATGATCAAAGTTCTGTCCAAGGAGAAAACTGACTCCCACAGGTTGCTCTCTGACTTAAACTTGCATACTCACGCACAGTCTCACACACAAAATAAATAAATGTTAAAAAAAAAACAACTTGGAGTACGACCCTGATTGCATAACTATGTATTTCTGGGAAGAAGTATAATAAATAACAATTTGTATGGGTTGTGGCATTGTGGGGCAGTTTTTTTTTTTGTTTTTTTTGAGACAGGGTCTCCCTGTAGTCCCAGCTGGCCTTGAACTGACAGAGATCCGCCTGGCTCTACCTCCCAACAATGATTTCTTTTAAGAGTTAGTATTTTCTGAGATTTTGTGCATGGATCAGTATATTCTGTAGTCTAGACTAAAACAAATTATGAAAAGATACTTGGGGCTGGAGATGCAGTTAAGTGGTGGAGTGTTTACCTAGCAGTGCACAAAGCCCTGGGTTCCAGTCTCAGTGCCACCATCAAAATCAGTGGCAAAAATTTTCTTGTACTTTTGGGACAAAGTGTCTCGGGGAGAGGATTGGGATGAGGTGGAAGGAAAAGATTGCTGTATGCTTGGGTCCTCTCTGGTACTGCAGATGTACGATCGGGCAATCAGTGCTCCTACCAGCCCCACCCGCCTGAGTCATTCTGGGAAGAGGAGCTGGGAAGAGCCAAACTGGATGGGCTCCCCTCGACTGTTGAATAAGGACATGAAGACAGGCCTGAGCCGTTCTCTGCAGACCCTTCCCACAGATTCCTCAGCCTTTGACACAGGTGAGAAGTGCTGGGAACCATGCGGGGACTGCCTCTGAACTTCAGGCCTTCTGTGGTGCACAGACATTTCTTAGTATGGGGATGCCAAGCACTTGCCCTTTGGGCCAAGTCCTTCTCTTTGCTGGGACTGAGGCTGCTGCAGACTGAGCAAGCTTGGGAAGAGCTCACATGCTTCTTTCTCTTGCCTTGGCAGATACATTCTGCCCGCCCCGACCCAAGCCATTGGCCAGGAGGGGCCAGGTAGACTTGAAGAAGTCACGACTCCGCATGTCCCTGCAGGAGAAACTTCTTTCTTACTACCGGAACCGGGCAGCCATCCCTGCTGGAGAGCAGGCTCGGGCCAAGCAAGCTGCGGTGGACATATGTGCTGAGCTGCGGAGCTTCTTGAGGGCCAAGCTGCCTGACATGCCACTTCGGGACATGTACTTGAGTGGCAGCCTCTATGATGATCTGCAGGTAACAAGATAGTTTTCATGAAGGTGGGACTGAGCATGGACTAGGTGCTTCTCTCTATTGTAGCTGGAGAAGAAAGTTGTTCCAGGCTCATCTGAAAGCCTCGTGCTTGTGAATCCTGTGCCTTGTAGCAGTGTTGGTTGCTTTGCTCCACTTCCTCATGTTTTAAGTCACACTTAGAATTCTGAAGAAGCTGTAGGGCCTGGGGATGTGGATCGGTTGGTAGAATGCTAGCCTAGATGGTGAGGCCCCAGGTTCAGTCCTCAGTACTGCATAAACCAGGTGCAGGTAGAAGGAGGCGAAGATCAAGGTCTTCCTCAGCTCCATGTTGGAGGCTGCACAAAACAGAAAACCAGCAAGCACCAAACACACTAGCTATAAGCAACCTGCTCCTTGCTGTACTCTTGTCCTACCTCTTCTGGTTTCCTCACTGTGCTGATTGAATGAGTAGTTTCCATTCCTGTTGAGGAATGCCAGATTCTAGGACATGCCTGTGTTTTGGGGAGCATATGTCTTAAGCAGAGTAAAGCCCTTTAAAGCCTTTTAAATTCTGGAGTCAGAGAGATGGCTCAGCAGGTAAAAGGTGCTTGCCCCCAGACGTTTGTTTGGTCCCTGGGCCCCACATGGTGGGAGGAGACAACTGACTTCTGCAAGTTGTCCGCTGACCTCCACACACATGCCATGGCACATGCATGCCTGTACACATACAAGCACAATAAATATATGAATAAAAGTTTAAAAAGAATGGGGTTGGAGAGATGGCTCAGCGGTTAAGAACATTGGTTGTTCTTGTAGAAGACCCAGGTTAGAATCCCAGCACCCACATGGCAGCTAACAATTGTCCATAACTCCAGTCCCAGGGGATCTGGCAGCCTCTTCTGACCTCCTTGGGCATTGCATGACACAGTGCGCTTACTACATGCAGGCAATACATGCATATGCATAAAATAAAATAAAAATAAATAAAATAATAAAAAAGTTTAAAAAGAAAACCCTTTATAATTCTGCTCTGGCAGGTGGTGACAGCTGACCACATCCAACTGATTGTACCCCTTGTGCTGGAGCAGAACCTGTGGTCATGCATCCCCGGCGAGGACACCATCATGAATGTTCCTGGTTTTTTCTTGGTCCGTCGTGAGAACCCAGAGTACTTTCCTCGTGGTAGCAGTTACTGGGACCGCTGTGTTGTAGGTGGCTACCTCTCCCCAAAGACAGTGGCAGACACATTTGAGAAGGTAGTGGCAGGGTCTATCAACTGGCCAGCCATAGGGTCCCTCTTGGACTATGTGATCCGACCAGCACCACCCCCAGAGGCCCTGACACTAGAAGTGCAGTATGAACAGGACAAACATCTTGTCATTGACTTCCTACCATCAGTGACCCTTGGTGACACTGTCTTGGTGGCCAGACCCCACCGGCTAGCTCAGTATGACAACCTGTGGCGGCTGAGCCTGCGTCCTGCTGAGACAGCACGCCTGCGGGCTTTGGACCAGGCTGACTCTGGTTGCCGATCTCTGTGCCTCAAGATCCTCAAGGCCATATGCAAGTCCACTCCGGCTCTGGGCCACCTCACTGCCAGCCAGCTAACCAATGTCATCCTCCACTTGACCCAAGAAGAGACTGACTGGTCTCCAGACATGCTGGCCGACCGTTTCCTGCAGGCCCTGAGGGGACTCATCAGCTACTTGGAGGCTGGAGTCCTGCCTAGTGCCCTGAACCCCAAGGTGAACCTATTTGCAGAGCTCACCCCTCAAGAAATAGACGAATTGGGATATACTCTCTACTGCTCATTGTCTGAGCCAGAGGTGCTGCTGCAGACGTAGGGCAGGTCAAGGCTGGAGTGGGCGTTGGGTGTCAGACCCGGAGTCTCCGTTAGAAACACTTGGCTACGTGGTTGTACCTCACAGGTCCCTAGGTGCCTCCTGTCCACCTAGTTAGTTGTCCTGGTCACTTCATGCTTATTAGAGTGGTGTCCCTTCAGTTTTCCCAGCTGTCCCTATTTTTGTTACCAAACACTGTGCTCCCTACTACCCCTTTGCTCTAGGTTGATTTTTCTGGAATGAACAGAGAAGGTAGAGTTTGGCCTGAGCTGTTGAGACTGCTGGGTATTTTGCATTTGGGCCCAGTTTTTCTGACTTTTGTCCTCCTGCCTTACCCTTTTGCCTCCTAGTCACTGTCTTCCTTTCCTGTTCACACCTTCGGTTTGCTCTTGTCATTGGAGCACATCTGCCTAATCAAGGTGTTGCCTTTTAGTTGATGTCACAGAAGAGCTCTGATTGCATGTTTCTAAGCGGAGCTCTGCAGAGAGTACTGAGACAGTATTTAGGGTTTCTGGGGTGAAAGTGGCTAAGAGCCTCTGACCTGGCAAATTGGCCTTTGACAAACAAACCCCACGTGCCCCCAGCAACTCCTGTTCATCTGTGCTAAGAACATTTTGCCTGGGGATGCTGCATTGACCCACATGGGGAACTGGATGCAAAGTTATTTTATAGGAGATTGTGTTTCTTTGTGGCCATCAGTAAGAACACAGGATGGTCTGAAGCTGCTTCAGGGTGCCTGGTGGAGAGCCTTTGTGTCCAAGTCTTTCTCATCTGTGGTGACCAAAGTCATACAGACAAAGGAAAGCCTGGGGCCCTCACCTCCCAGGATACTGGTTCCCTGTTTATTGCCAATTGAAGAAGGCCTTGCTTTAGTAGTACAGACCGATGGACGGTAACAGGAGGCTGAGTGTCAGCTGGAAAACCCAGTCACCAGTTGGCTTAGAGACCATGTTGTCTTCCTTGACAGGATCTGCCTTTCTAGGATGTTGCCTCAGAGCAACAACAGACCCAGGGCCAACACCTCCCAAATGGTGTTTGCTGAGTACTGTAGGCACCTCCACAAGCCAGAGGGCATGTGAACATGCCAGGTCTTGTCTCCTTGTTCTGCTTACCTGACACCTGGGAGATTGGTGCTACCTAGGAAATGAGCACATAGCACACAGACCAGGAAGGAGGGGGACTTCCCTCATTGCTGCTAAAATTGCACTATTTTATGGCAGTATAGATGTATCCTGAGGGTAGGGCAGAGGGAGGAGTGTTTAATATACCATGTTAGTGTGTCTCGTTTTCTGGTTTGTGATAAAGAGGCTGAAGGTAGTTCTGGTTCTGATCTGCCCATCTAGTCTTTTGTTTTATCTGTTCTTACTACCTCTCCATCAGTGTGATTCTGGTGAAGATCTCTGCAGCTGTCTTAACCCTTCCTAATGAGGATGACATGAAATGACAGTAAACAGCACTGGCCCTTCAGAAGTCCACTTGAATTTAGGGTAGCAATAGATGCCTGCCTCTTCTTGCCATAGATTAGGAGGTTGAGAACTAGCTGTAGTTACTTTCTGCAAAACTCTTCTATATATCTGCTGAGATTCCTTACGGAGTTTCTTTTGTTTGATTTGTATAACATAGTATGAAAAAATTGCAAAGAGAAAGCCAAGAACCTTAACTGAAGCATGCCACCTTGGCTGTTAAACCAGAATGAAATAGGGGTTTAGAACGTCTGTGCAAACTTACAGATGTTTGGGTGGGGATAGAATGGCTCTGAGGCTCCATCTGATGGAGGGGAGGGTCAGAGTGCTGTACAAACAGATTCTTATTTTGATTTGGGTTCCCTCTGATAAGTATTATAAAACTTTCCCAAGGTATCATTTCTGATTAGATTCCATATAAAATACAGGAAAGAGCTCAAGTGAAGCCCCTAAACTTGGAAGACCCTGAAGATTTAAAAAGTCTCAGATTATCACAGCCATATGTCATTGTGAGTTTAGGAAGGGCAGTGATCTGCTATCTTAAGGAATAGCTCTCACCTGGACTGTGCTTTGTAAAACCAAGTCTTGGCCATCTTCCAAGCAAGGGCCTCTTAGAAGTCCTCAGAAAAAGGAAAAGTGGGAACGGAGCCCTGAGCTGGTGGGTTTGCTGACTGGGCAGGCTCTCCTTTCGCTGCCATTTTCCTTGTCAAAAAATATGGGAGATGCCTGAGTGCTTTGGGATGTTTGGGTGCAAGAAAACAATATTCTGCCCCCCATCCCCTTTGCAACTCTGGGGAAAGAGGCAGCGGCTGTGCCAACACTCTGCCTTTCTCTTGAGCAGCTTCTGCTTTGGCCTGAAGGAATAGCCACCGCTGTGATCCTAGTTCTGTCTGGAGATCTTGGCACCATCTAGATTAGCAAACCACATGCTTGATGCCTAAAATTGCACTCATTAACTTGAAAACCTAGTAATTCCAAGTTTATTTTGGTTCTTCCCTGTTGCCCTTTACCAAAAAGAGTTGAGGATAGCAATCTTTTCCTTCATATGCTTGGTTGCGACTTAGAGCTGGAAAAGCTGTTGGGGTAGTCTCCCATCTCCTTACTTGGCCTGGCTGTCCACTTCCTTATACTTAGGTGAGCTGATTTTGTCCCCTTGTAATTCACTCAAGAGCTCAGATTGGTAGGGTGGAGTCAACTTCAGGGTCATGGGCCGAGGGATCCAGTAAACCAACAGGATGTTGCATGTGTCCAGAGCCCTCTGCCCCCAAACACTTCCTTGGGATTGTGAGTACAGAATTTTCACCCTGAGGATGCTGCAAACTCTAGCCTTTCCCCTAAAGCTCAAGGCCAAGGAAAATGTTAAGACATTTGGGACTAGAGCTGACCTCTACACCAGACTGGGAAACTGTAGTCCTATTAGACTTATAAAGTGGCCAAAATACCAGGCTGTGGCTTCTGTGGTCAACTGCATACAGGGGGTGGGGGGTGGAGGAGTGTTACTTTTTATTTTGATCACCCTGTAGTCTTTAACCTCTTGGTCCCTGAGGCCAGGTCCACGACTTGCCTTCCAGTCACTTGCCTGCCCTTCAGTGGTGGTCAGTGTCAGGTAGAATTGGAATCAGTCACCAATCTACATCCTGTCTTGGCTGGGTCCATATAGGAGCAGCTTAGCTCTGAGACCCAGCGAACCTTTATTCTTTTTCTCCTTGAAGGAGGAAATTAAACTGGGGAACACAGTGTCTTTCCACAGTATGGGAAGAAGAAAATAAAAATCTCCTTTCCAACAACTCCAATTGTGTGTGGTATCAGACATCGTCCCACGGCCGTGATGGGTCTCTGTTTTTGGCTAAGAGAATCGTTGAAGCATTTGACATGGATCTCCATAGTAGAATGGGGACAAGCAGCCAGACTAGACAACTTTATGTCTGCACATGCCCTTGTGATTTCCCTTGAGGGGAAAGAAGCATTTATCCTGGCATGTAGGCCTTGTGTATACGGGTTGTGTATAGTTGTTGGTTTAGTTCTCAGTAAATAATAGGAAGCATGGATGAGTCATGGAGGTAAGGCATTCTAAGTACATGCCAGTGCACCTGGCTCTGCAAGCATTTGTTGAGCACCTCAGTGGTAGGCACTATGCTAATTGCTTTACCTGGTTCATTCCTAAGAAAAACAGATGCAGCCTCATTTTGCAGATGAGGAAACAGGCTGAGAGGATGTCATTTAGCCAAATATCCCAGCCAGTAAATGATAGAGCCAGCCCTCAGAGTGATATTTGTGTGAATTACTTCAGTGGAGGTGGCAACTCAAGATTTCTGTTTTTACAAGGCTGAAGGGGGAAGAGGGCCTCTCAACATGCCCCTTGTGGCGCTGGCCCTGACCAGGGCTATCGCTTCCAAACATAACCAGCAAGCAGCTCCTCACAGGGCCATCGGGATGACCTCTTGGGAAGGTTATGGCTACCTTACGGTTTAAGACACCAGTTGAATAAAACCTGTTCTTAGGGAATTGAACATGCATAAACGGGAAGCAGCACGTCCAAGGGACTGTATACTTACATAGAATAGTGTCTGCATTTGGGCAGAACAGAACTAGGTTAAGCACCTTTTCCCACGTCCCAGTCCCTTTGTAGGCGTGGTCCCCGGGCCTCTAGAGGCCAAGTCAGCCTTCCAATGTGGGCGACCCGAGCAAATAAAGGCTCGGGACCAGGGAACCTCCGGGGGCCTGTCTGGATCGGAAGTCAGCCCGTTCATCCTGAGCGGAGAGCCTTGGGTGATTTCGAACTTCGACGGCGCGGGAGTCAAGCATGGAGGACGCTGATGCGTACTGGACCAGAGCTGCCGGCGGACACCAGCAGGGTTGTCCGGACACCGCTGAGGGACCACTGCGGCAGGGTCACCTCTGACTGCAGCCTGCCCAGGTGACAGACGGTCGGTGGATCCCCGCTGGTGGCTCCGCCCCTTCCCGCACTGACTTCCTCCCTCCCCCTCCCGAGCTGCCCGGCCCAGAACCAATAGGAGCCTGAGGTTTACATGACACTCCACTCCAGGGCCAATCAGCGCTGCGCGCGCTCCCACCGTCTTGCGCTACAGCTGGGGGCTACTCCCGTACCTGACAGGTATTGAGCTGTCTGGATCCCTCCGCATTGGCGGAGGCGGGAAGGGACCTCGTGAAGTAGTGCGCCGCTTTCCTCTCCGGCTTCGGGAGTGGCCTCGGGCTGCCCGGCCGCTCCCCAAGCACGGTGGGGCGGGGCCGGGAGGGCCGTGGCATCAGCGCGACGTTAGCGCTACTGTCTGCGGCGGGTCACGTGGCCGTGGCGGAAGGATGCGCGGCGTGCTGCGGCCCGGCGGAGTGTATAAGGCACGGTGCGGAGGCCACCGCCATTTCTGTTCCGCCCGCCAGTCGATGTAGAGTGTGGTCTGTGTCCCCCTCCCTCCCTCAGGGCTTGAGGCCGCCATGGCGTATTAGAGGCAACAGTGCCTGCGGCAGCGTTGGCCTTTGCAGCGGCGGCAGCAGCACCAGGCTCTGCAGCGGCAACCCCCACCGGCTTAAGCCATGGCGTGAGTACCGGGCGTGGGCCTCGGGGTGGCTGGGCGCGACCCGCGCTGGCGTCGCTCTGGGGAAGCGGCTTTACGAGCGGCCGGACGCGGTGGCCGCGTTTGTGCGGCCTGGAGACGCCGGGCTGGGTGCAGCTTGCCACCTCTCTTCTTGGCGCCCTGTGCTCGATCTCGCCGGGCCAGAGTCGCTGTGAACGTGGCGGCTAAGATGGCGGCGGGGCGGGGGCGAGGGCGGAGCACGGCTGCGGCAGCCGTTTTGGGACGCGGACGACCTGCTTCCTCCTGGTGGCTGTGCAGCCAGGCCGCGCCTCCATTTTGTGCAACCGGAGCAGGAGGCCGGGGAGGTCGACACAATGGCCTTGGGCTCACGTGGTCCCTGCCGCCCAGAGCCGTCGTGGATCTGGGGTAGAAAGATGGGGTTCTTAGACGGGTTCCCCCTGACGGGACTTGCCTTTGGATTCCTGTTCAGGCTCTTCACGGCATCCAGCAGCAGCGTTGCTGTAACGGACAAAGACACTTTTGATTTAAGCACAGTCCTCGATTCCAGCAAAGCCCCGAAACATGACCGAGATGAGCTTCCTGAACAGCGAGGTGTTGGTGGGGGACTTGATGTCCCCCTTCGACCAGTCGGGTTTGGGGGCTGAAGAAAGCTTAGGTCTCTTAGATGACTACCTGGAGGTGGCCAAGCACTTCAAACCTCATGGGTTCTCCGGCGACAAGGCTAAGGCGGGCTCCTCCGAATGGCTGGCTGCGGATGGGTTGGTCAATGCCTCAGATACCGGCAAGGGTGAGTTGGATCGCTTGCCCGGTGTGTCCCTCATGGGGTGTGGTGGGAGTCTGGTATTGCTACCTGAGTGTGTAACTTGGTCTACTTAGTCTTGAATGTGTTTTTGCAGAGGATGCCTTTTCCGGAACAGATTGGATGTTGGAGAAAATGGATCTGAAGGAGTTTGACTTCGATGCCCTGTTTCGAATGGATGACCTGGAAACCATGCCAGATGAGCTTTTGGCCACGTTGGATGACACATGTGATCTTTTTGCCCCTCTAGTCCAAGAGACTAATAAGGAGTCCCCCCAGACAGCGAACCCAATTGGCCATCTCCCAGAGAGTTTAACGAAAACCGACCAGGTTGCCCCCTTTGCCTTCTTGCAACCTCTTCCCTTTGCCCCAGGGGTCCTGTCTTCCACTCCAGATCATTCCTTTAGTTTAGAGCTAGGCAGTGAAGTTGATATCTCTGAAGGAGACCGGAGGCCTGACAGTGCTGCTTACATTACTGTGATCCCTCAGTGTGTAAAAGAGGAAGACACCCCCTCAGATAATGATAGTGGCATCTGTATGAGCCCTGAGTCCTACCTGGGCTCTCCCCAGCATAGCCCCTCCACCTCCAGGGCATCTCCAAGCAGTCTGCCTTCTCCAGGTATTAGCCATGGGTCTCCTCGCCCCAAACCTTATGACCCTCCAGGAGATAAGGCGGCAACGAAAGTAAAGGTTGAAAAGCTGGATAAGAAGCTCAAAAAAATGGAGCAAAACAAGACTGCAGCCACTAGGTACCGCCAGAAAAAGCGGGCAGAGCAGGAAGCCCTTACTGGTGAGTGTAAAGAGCTAGAAAAGAAGAATGAAGCTCTCAAAGAGAAGGCAGATTCGCTGGCTAAAGAGATCCAGTATCTGAAAGATTTGATAGAAGAGGTCCGCAAGGCAAGGGGGAAGAAGAGAGTTCCCTAGTAGGGTAGTCAGGAGTGCTTTGTGCTTGTACATAGGAGTCTTGTGCTAATGCTGTGTTTACTGTAATAAATTATTTTGTAGTGAAAGTACAAATGCAGGCTTGCAGTGTTATTCTTGATCTGACATTCTGGGTTCTAATGGACAATGAATGGGAAGGGAGGGGAAGGAGGAGGGTGTTGGGCCAGATGCAGTAGGGGACCAGGCACCTCAGGTCTGAGCTGTTTGGGCGGGGAGTTTAGCTGGAGGATCTGTGAGGCTGAGAGGAATAGGCAGAGCTCCATCTGTTCATAAACTGGCATTGTGTCAGACATCTGCCATCTAAGGACTCAGATAAGGTCACATAGTCCTTGAGCACACAAGATTAGGTTTCTCTTCCACAGTTCTTTGGGGCCTTAATCTGTTGAACTGCCTCCTATTGGTTGCAGTGGAAGGGATAGAGCTGGGGATGTCAATCACTTAACATGATGCTGGTGCTCTGTACCCACCTGGGTCAGGTGAAAGGCCTGAACAGGGAGAGCAGGGTGGGTGGGGTGGTGTAACTTTAAGCACAATACACTGCTCCCACCCAGATTGGGGGGAGGGTACTGTTTCTACAAGTAAGGAAGCAAAAACTATTAGAAGCTAGGACCATAGCTCCCATCTGAATACTTCTGTTTGGCCTCCTCTGAGTTTGGAAAGCTTGTTTGGGCTTTGGGCCTGCAGGGTAGGATTGGTATTTCTCTGACCAGCACAGATTCACTGAGCACCAGCTGTTGGAGGGAATATGGTCTCTGCCATCTTCAGGCTCATTTTATGGAATTCACTAGACTTCGGGCCTCTCCCTCAGGGAGCCACCTGTGGACTGTGGCTGAATTCAAGAACCAGACACTGGAGGTCTCCTACATATCCCAGGTCTGCGTTCTGCTCCTTTGCCTTCCCACACAGCCTTTTAGTTTAGGCCACAACTTGGTCACCCAATTCTTCTAAGCTAGGCTAAACTTGGCCAGGCGTGTACTATAGGCGTACCACACCCAGCTTGACTCTGGGATTTCTTAAGGCAGGGCATAAGGCAGCCAACTCCTTGGGGGTGGGAGCAACTTAATTTCAAACTAACAGGTTCAGATCCCATGTGCTTGAGTGCCTGACTGAAAGTTTCTCAAGATGCTTTTATGTGCACGTAAGTTGAAGAAAATGTCAGTTGTATCTGGGTTTGGTGGCATATGCCTCTTAATTACTGCTCTGGGGAGGCTGAGCCAGGATTGTCACAGATTGGAGGCCTGTCTGGGCTGAGACACTCTTCAAAACCAAGAATACACAAAGTTTCAGGGCCTGGAGAGGGCCAGCAGTTAAAGAGTGCTTACTGTGGCCTCTGAGGGTGTGCATACACACACAAGTAAAAAATTAAGATCTTAAGACCCATCAGTTGTCTACACAATTTTTTTGTGAAGGGCTGGCAGAGTGGGGAGTCTGAGGCACAAGCCCCCCATTAGCACAGCTGATTTTAAGCCCTACTTGATGCCTTACCTCAGTTTTGTGACTGAAGTTTTTTTTTTCTTCAAGATGGGAAATAAAAGTCTACCACTCCCCCACCAGCATTGGAGCCTGTTTCGCCAAGAGGCGGCTAACCCAGATGGCGGTGGGAGGAAGGCACTTCAAAGAGGGAGTGGGACAGTCTGGGCCCTGCAAGTGGCTGCCACACTGAGTCATCCAGGGCCAGCAGGTGGAGGCCCTTGGAGACAGTGGTCATCCCTCATTTGGTAGAAGTTATGGCTGCTCCCTTTATGCAGGGCTCATGTCACCTCACAGTCCTTCCAGATGACCCAAACTGTCCTGGAACTTGCTGTGCAGCCAAGGATGGCCTCAAACTGCTTGAACTCCTGCCTCCAGTTTTTTTTTGGGGGGTGGGGGGGTCTTTTTGAGACAGGGTCTCCCTTGTAGACCAGGCTGGCCTTGAACTCAGAGATCTGCCTGCCTCTGCCTCCTGAGTGCTGGGATTAAAGGCGTGCACCACCACACCCAGCTTGTTTTTTTCTTTTTTGAGATGGTCTCCTTGTAGCCCTAGGTGGCCTGAGAGAAGGATGGCCTCAATCTCAGAGACCCACTTGCTTCTGCCCCCTGGGTGCTGGGATTAAAAGGCATGCCCCACAATGCCTGGCTACCTGACATTTTGTCTGTGGCCTGAGAGGTAGGCTATGGGAAGAACCTAGGGAGACACGCAATGTTTGGCCTCCTGACCATCTTAACTTACAGCTCCTACCAGGCAGACCTTGCCAAAAGAGGCTGGAGGTGATGCTTGCAACTCCTGGCTCCTGCAAGGTACCCAAGGGTGGTCAAGTTTCTGTGCTTAACCCCAACCCCTTGTCTGGGCTGTTAGTTCTGGGCACCGGTCACCTGCTTTGTCTCTGGAGCAAGGCTGTGGGCAGTGGAAAGCTGAGGAGGGCAAGGGCCTTGTTTACCTACTACTGGTAAATGTCTATGTGCTGGGCACTGTCTGGGGATGCAACAGGACACATAAGATGAACAGCCCTGCTCTTGTGGCACTTCCCTTGTTAGGGGAGATGGGAACAAAGGTGAGGGTAAGACCTCAACAAAGGGTATGAGATGCTGGGCAAGCTGGCTGAGATCTGCTCCTGGTGGTGCATGCTGGGGAATGAGCTGGGTGGGACCTGGGTAAAGAGGTGGCCTGGGTGTGGGTATGAGGATGATTTTCAGCAAGCAGCAGCAGGATGGCAACCCTACCTTTTCAGGTGGAGAAAGCAGGAGCAGGCTTGTTTCACCCTTTTATGCAGGCAGAAGCTGGGCTGAGTCTTAGTGAAGTCAGATGGTGAGGTGGTGGTCATGTAGAGTACGGAGACAGGGGAGCCCAGCACAAAGACTGCAGTGACACCCAAGTGCTGAGTGCCCACCCAGACACTTTATAGGGTGGGCATGGAATCACCGCCCATGGTGGATGGCAGCAGATGCTTAGAACAGTACCAATTGGCAGCTTTAGGAGACAGGCCAGCCCAGGTTGGGGAATCTCAATACAGCCTGCAGGGCCTCCTGTCTGGGCCTTTGAAGAATGGGGGATTGTTGAGCATGAAGAAGGACAGTACTCCCAAGAGTGAGAGAGCTACTGCCAGGAAAGGGTGGGACACGGTCTTCAGCCCCGCCCACCTGGCCAGCTCCAGCAGGAGGGCAAGGCTAAGCCCCAGAATCAGACACACTCTAGGCAAGGCTGATGTCCTAGTGGCTGGCCCTATGGAATCCCACATGGCAATCCTGTGTAGCTAGCCCCCTGCAGTCAGAGCACCAGTAATGAACAGCCCACCCAGTGCAGGAGCCACAGGAAGCACTGGGAGACCCCCAAGTACAGGTTACCAAACTGCTAAGCCAGGCCCCAATCTGTCTACTGCCCCAAACCACCAGAGGCTCAAATGCTCCTGGTAGCCTTCACATCTATAAGGGTGCTTTTGGTGACAACTGGTATCCTCTTACTGGGTGACTGGTTGGCAGGGCCTGTGGATAAGTCAGTACCCCTGCCATGAGCACACTCCCTTTCCTTCTACTCTGCAGCAACTGGAAGCCTCAGAGCAGGGAAGGGCAGGTCCTCTGCCTGTACTCTCCAGGAGGGAAAGACGACCTAGGTGATTATGTGACAGCAGGTGTATACTCCCTAGAAAGGGGTCCTGGAGCCCTTTTCTTCCTTTCTTTTTTTAAATGACACAAACTCTAAGAACAAGCATTGAGCTGACTGCTTGCTTATTAAGATGGAGGGAATGATGGCAGGCATGGTTGGGCACAGCTTTAATCCCAGTCCTCGGGAGGCAGAGGAAGGTGGATCTCTATGGGTTTGAGGCCAGCCATGGCTACAGAGTGAGACCCTATCTTAAAGATGGAATGAGTTCCCAAGACCACCCAAATTCCTCTACCCCATAGCAAAGTCCAGCAGGCAAGAACTAGGGGAGGATCTGAAGACCAGCACTGATGGTTTCTCTGAACAAGCCCATGTGAGGGAGGCTCCAGAGCTCCCAGTCACTAGCTTATAGTCACAGCATCCACCTTCCTCCTGTTGATCATGCCTCTCATGAGGCAATGAGCACCTGGATACAGTGCCCACCCTAATTCCACTCTGCTGCAGGTAATTCTGTGTCCCTACTTGAGATGAAGAACTGTTTAAAGGGACAAGAGATGCCTGGAGTGGCACCAATGAACCTTCTCTTATGGAGGACACAGCCCAACCACTGGCATGTCAGGGGTCATTCATGGAAATGGCTGATGGAGACCCATCAATGCTCTCTATCAGAAGCTCCATCAAGGAGCCCTTGAACTGGAAGTGGGGGAGAGGCACGCTCAGGAGGGAGATGGCTATATAAAAGCCACTAGGGTCTCCTCCTTGGGGCCTCAACGGTCTCCACTGAGGGGACTTCTGATTTCTTCCATGACAGGTCATTTCTTCTTCACTCAAGAGCAGCCCTGGTCTGCACTGTTCTCTCCCGAGTGTGCTCATGCTACATGACCTTTCCTTCACCTCCTGTGTCTGGCACTGTGCTAGCTGGACAGGGTCCAGTCTGCCCTCTGGCATAGCTATGGCCTTTACTGCTGCCCTTGGCAGGGGTAAAACTTAAATGTCAACTCTGCTTGTTCAGGAGTCCTCCTAAAACCATGAACTATGCCCCTACCCAGTGTGACATGACCAAGCTGGCTTTCTGCTCTTTGCTGGTGCCAGAGCAGGATCCACACTGTGGGGAGGGCTGAGGCAGCTCCACTTCCACACTCCCAGACCTGACAGTCCACTTCTCCGGTTAACTCCAGCACATGCCAGTGTCATTTTCACTTCAAGTGCTACCTTCCATGTGGCCATGCCACAGAGAGGAAAGCATCTCAGGTAAACGGCATATGCTAGGCCTAGACTTGAGGACTTTAGACACGAAGCTCCTAGAGCCATGCTGAAAGTCATAGCAATAGCACATGCAGTTTGAACACACATTTACTTGAACCCAGCTGCCTTCTTCTGGTTCCTGGAGGTATGCCCTGTGAGGGTCAAGAACCTGGCCCCATTTCATGGTAAACAGCCTAGGGGCCCCACACCTACCAAAGCAAACAGGTCAGAAATGTTCCTTTCTGGAAGGTACAGGTGGCTCTGCCCAACTCTACAGAAGTCAGCTTCAATCTGAGAGCAAATCTGCCCCAGACTTTGTAGCACACCAGCTCCATTCCAATGTCCAGTGGAATCTAGCTCCAGGGCTTCCTAAACCAGGCTGGCTCTGCATCACCACCTGCTGGTCACCTATGGCACAGCATTTTGGAGCCACAGGGATAGCAGAGGCAGGGGATCAAAGAAGGTCGGTGCCTTTTCCACCCACCATTCCTCCAGGGAGTCTAGCTGCCAAAGTATTCCCGCTGGAACTTCTGGAAGTCCTCTTCAGTGAACACGGTGCTCTCAGCCTTCTTCTTCTTAGTCTTGACCACTGGCCGATCACAGGCCTTGCGGCCCTGGTTTTGCAGCAGAATCTGGAAAGATGCTGGAGTGAGGACCTGTTTCCATTTTTGGAAGCACAGAACGGTGAGGGTTGCTGGAATATATGGCTCAGGACAAGGCTGGACCAGCTCCACCCTATATTTAGGGCTGAGAGCTACACGGATCCTGGGAAACAGCCCCAGTTGTCACCCCTAGGTCCCTTCCTATGGCATGCACCCCCAGACAAACCTGTTCGCTCACAGACTCTGCCACAGTGCTTCTCATGCTGGTCATAAACTTCAGGTTTGCTTGGAGGTGGTCCTGACACTCTTTCTTCTGGTATTCGGCTATGGGTGGCAGGTAAGGTATGTCATTTCAGACTTACAGTCTGGAAGCACTCTGAGCCCCCACCCCTGGTCCTGCCAAAGGTCCCACTGTCCCTTCTCCAGACTATTTCAGCCCAATCTACTCTCCCTACTGGTCCTGCTGAAACTCCCCATGCCCCTACTGGATGGCTTCCAGTTAATCATGTGACTCTGTCACTAATTCAATTAAGCCAGGTGTGGTGGTATATACCTCTAGTCCCAGCACTCAGGAGGCTGAGGCAAGAGGATTACTCCCAGGTCACACAGCAAGACCACCTAGGCTATACAGCAAGCACCAGATTGGTCAGGGTGACATGGCAAGACTGCTTAAAAACACGTTCTTATGTGGAAGCAAGGAAACTAGTATTTTAGAGTGTTATCCTTTTTTTAAATCCCAGACTGTACTCAAACTCAGTGACCCTACCGCCTTATTCTCCCAAATGCTGAGGTTATAGGTATGAGCCACATGTCTACTGAGATTATCCATTCTGCTGAGAAAAACTGAGCAGAAAACAGAAAGGGGAGTGTCAGGGGTAGAGGATGAAATTTTATTTTATTTTAGTCTTTTTGAGACATGGTCTCCTTGTAGCCCCGGCTGGCCTGGAACCCATTATGTAGAGCTGACTGGACTTGAACTCACAGAGATCTGCCTGCTTCTGCCTCCTGAGTGCTGGGCCTAAAGGTATGCACCACCATGCCCGGCTGTATTTTATTTATTATTTTTATGTGTATGAGTGTATTGCCTGCATGTATGTGAGTGCACCCGTATCATGCAATGCCACGGAGGTCAGAAGAGGGCTTTGGATTCCCCTGGAACTGGAGTTAAGGACGGTTCGTAGCTGCTATGTGGGTGTTGGGAATCAAACCCAGGTCCTCTAGAAGAGCAGTCAGTGCTCTTAACCGCTGAGTCATCATCTCTCCAGCCCCTGGAGGTTGCAGTTTTAAACAGAAAGTCCCAAGGTCTCACTGAAATGCCACTTGAACAAAGACTGGAAGGTCAGAGTTGTCAACATGTAGAGGAAGAGCATGTCCAGACGGAGGAATAGATAGTGCTAAATCCCTGAAGCAGAAATCAGTGATATGTTTGAAGACCCAAGCTGGAACAAGGTCTGGGTCATGGCTTTACAGGCTGCTGCTGAGAAGATTGCTGGGAAAGGTGTGGGAAACCAGCCAGAGATTTCTGCACAAATCAGGCAAGAGATGAGGGCTTCAGCCGAGGTGGCAGCACCAACCCATCTGCAGACTGGCTGCTTTGGCCCACCACTCTCACCCATCCATTATATGGCAGTCCCAGTGCCAGAGAAAATCCAAGGGGAGGGGGTCCTGTGTCTTGATGAGCTCCCAGTCCAGCAGGGAAGTGAAGGGAACCCCAATAACTGGGGTAAGACACCCTGGCCTGCAAGGACTTCTTCCACCCTATGTTGGTGTGCATAGCTCCTATAACCAGTAGCTAAATGTGTCTCCTTCTCCATCTTTGCTCATGTTTTGTTTTCTTCTTGAACTCCATACCTCTCTTAACAAGTACTTAAGCTGGGTATGGTAGTACATGCCTGTAATCCCAGCATTTGGAAAGCTGAAGCAGGAGGATTGCTGCAGGTGAGTTTAAGGCCAGCCTGAGATATAAAGTGAAACCTTGTCAAAAAAAAAAAAAAAAAAGACAGCTGGGTGTTGTGGTGCACATCTTTAGTTCCAGCACTCAGGAGATAGAGGCAGGTGGATCTCTGTGAGATCCAAGCCAGCCTGGTCTACAAATCGAGTTCCAGGCTAGCTGGGGCTACAGGGAGACCCTGTCTCAAAAACAAAACAAACACCAACAAAACACTTTTTTTTTTTTGGTCTTTTTGAGACAGGGTCTCCCTCTAGCCTCAGCTGTCCTGGCACTAAAGGCGAGTGCCGCCACGCCCCGGCTACAAAACACCTTTTAAACAGTGGGCCCCATAGACTCAGAAAGGAGAGAAGTGTGTAATCCTGGGTTCCCTTTCTCCAAATCTTCGGTGCCACACCCCCCACAAAATGCTTTACTAGAGATGGGGCTCCCACTTGGCAGACGATTCACCACTAAAGTCCATCACCACACGTTCCTCCGCCTGCACAACTTCTTTCCTGGATGGAGGAAGGTGCCCTGCCACCTGTGCAAGCAAGTAAGCACAAGACTATGGAGACAACTGCCTAGTTTACAGTTGTACCACCTGTTTCTGCATCTGTAAAATGGGATCATTCACTGACCTCAGGGTGTCACTGTGCGTGTCAAATGAGTTTAACACTTTTACGGGGTTTAGAAGGGCATCTGAGACACAGAAAATGATTCCTGTTCATTACTATCACCTTTGCAGTTTTTCAAGTTCTCCAAGGCAACAGGCTCCTTTCTAATGCCTTCTCCCTTTCACTCAGCCGCTCTTACACTTGGTCAGGTGCATAGCCTTCACGATGTTATTTCCTCAGAAATGGCTGATCTGGCCTTTTACCATGAATCTTTCTCGGAGCATCATAGCCTTTTACTTCACAGGCCTCAACACATTTAGTAAAATTACACAGACTTTTCGTCCCTTCTCTCCCCACTGGGGCTGTAGTCCAGAAGCATCTGCTTGTACCATGCGTTTACACATGCCTTGCACTTGCCACGGAGCCAAGAACTGACACTGAACTTCCGATCCTGCTGCCTCCACCTCCCAAGTGCTGGGATGACAAGTGTGTGCCACCACTCCCTGCTCCCTCTCTACCCGATCCTTTCAGGTACGTGGCAGGTTAACAGCAAAGACAGGCTGCTGAGAGCCCACTCTTCGGCGCTAGAATGCAGAGTTCGAAAGCTGTCCCCTATCACTTAACAGACTTCTGGCCTTTTCCTGGCTGTGCCTCGGGTAACGTTTGGAGCCCCGACTAACAAGTCTCCGACTTACCCAGCGCACACTTGGGCACCTTTCCCTTGGCCGAATTCCGCAGTTTCCGGGCCTGGGAGGCCTTTGCCTTCGTTCTTCGGGCCCGCTTTTTTTTTTTTGGTCTTTTTGAGACAGGGTCTCCCTCTAGCCTCAGCTGTCCTGGCACTAAAGGCGAGTGCCGCCACGCCCCGGCTACAAAACACCTTTTAAACAGTGGGCCCCATAGACTCAGAAAGGAGAGAAGTGTGTAATCCTGGGTTCCCTTTCTCCAAATCTTCGGTGCCACACCCCCCACAAAATGCTTTACTAGAGATGGGGCTCCCACTTGGCAGACGATTCACCACTAAAGTCCATCACCACACGTTCCTCCGCCTGCACAACTTCTTTCCTGGATGGAGGAAGGTGCCCTGCCACCTGTGCAAGCAAGTAAGCACAAGACTATGGAGACAACTGCCTAGTTTACAGTTGTACCACCTGTTTCTGCATCTGTAAAATGGGATCATTCACTGACCTCAGGGTGTCACTGTGCGTGTCAAATGAGTTTAACACTTTTACGGGGTTTAGAAGGGCATCTGAGACACAGAAAATGATTCCTGTTCATTACTATCACCTTTGCAGTTTTTCAAGTTCTCCAAGGCAACAGGCTCCTTTCTAATGCCTTCTCCCTTTCACTCAGCCGCTCTTACACTTGGTCAGGTGCATAGCCTTCACGATGTTATTTCCTCAGAAATGGCTGATCTGGCCTTTTACCATGAATCTTTCTCGGAGCATCATAGCCTTTTACTTCACAGGCCTCAACACATTTAGTAAAATTACACAGACTTTTCGTCCCTTCTCTCCCCACTGGGGCTGTAGTCCAGAAGCATCTGCTTGTACCATGCGTTTACACATGCCTTGCACTTGCCACGGAGCCAAGAACTGACACTGAACTTCCGATCCTGCTGCCTCCACCTCCCAAGTGCTGGGATGACAAGTGTGTGCCACCACTCCCTGCTCCCTCTCTACCCGATCCTTTCAGGTACGTGGCAGGTTAACAGCAAAGACAGGCTGCTGAGAGCCCACTCTTCGGCGCTAGAATGCAGAGTTCGAAAGCTGTCCCCTATCACTTAACAGACTTCTGGCCTTTTCCTGGCTGTGCCTCGGGTAACGTTTGGAGCCCCGACTAACAAGTCTCCGACTTACCCAGCGCACACTTGGGCACCTTTCCCTTGGCCGAATTCCGCAGTTTCCGGGCCTGGGAGGCCTTTGCCTTCGTTCTTCGGGCCCGCTTCACTGGGGCGCCGCTCGCCTTGGCCTGGCTCGGCGCGGCCCGAGGAGCTGTAGGGGAAGAGCGCGAAAGACCAGGTCGGAGGGCGCGCAGGGCTCCCCGGCACCAGCCCTCAGGTCCCGCAGGGCTCCCCCACCTCCCCCGCACTGGTTTGATCACTTCCAGCCGGGCCTCGGCTTCCCACCCGCCCCGTGGGGCTCCCTGCTCCGAACATCCCCCGGCCAGCCCTCCTCACTCTCGGACGCCTCGAGCAGCTCCAAGCCCCTCCGCAGCAAGGCAGCCGACATACTGCACTAAGTTCCGCCCACACGCCTCACGCTACTTCCGCCCTTGAGGTGTTCTTCCTCCGGGCGGAAACACGAGCTGAAGCCCAGGGTTCTGGAGCTCGCGGACGACATACCCCCTCCCCAACCTCCTTAGGACGCAGGCGTAGTGGGTTTACTCTTGCCCTGGGACGGTGGGGGAAGCAGGGAGATACGTTTGTTGTCCAATCTGTACGGAACACCCTGCGTCCCGCTAGGCATAATAAAAACGTAAACAACATGCCTGAACTAATGTCAAGGCATGATGACGCCTCTACGTACTGGGGCCGGAAGCGAGGACGCTGGGCTTAGCCCGGGTTGCTGATTGGACGCGCTCGCTTGGGAGCCACCGACCAGGCTCCTGGCATGCCGCACTCTTGCACAACCACCAGATCATCCCTGCCCTGACCAAGGACAGCCTGGCAGGACTCCAGTATCCGGGAATTGCCACCTGGGACTCCACACCGCTCCATGGTGTGACGACTGGACTTCCTGCTGGAGCTCCTGACCACACCTGCGATGGGTCTTCGGACCATCGCGAGGGGAACCTGGAATACACGTGTGGACCTGATTTGTTTGGTGATTGGGTAAGCCGGGGTTTGCAGTGTAATCAATAAATGTGTGTCAAAATCATAGCAACGGCCTCTAGTGAATCTTGTCTGATTACCTCAACCACCGGTTTGGTTAAGTGCTCGAGACAGATGGTGTAGTCTGCAGGATGATCTATAGTCATAGGCTGGTTGACTGAAAGTATTTTTAACTGGACTGAGAGAAGAGAGGCTAAACTCTCCAGAATTCTTTCTTTCTATCTATCTATCTATCTATCTATCTATCTATCTATCTATCTATCTATCTATCTATCTCTATCTATCTATCATCATCTAATCTATCATCTATCATCTATCTAATCTATCATCTATCTATCTATCATCTGTCTATCATCTTTCTATCTATCTTCTATCTATCTATCTATCTATCTATCTATCTATCTATCTATCTAATCTAATCTATCTATCATCATCTCCTTAATTTTGAAGGAAAAACCCATAAAGGGAACAGCAATATGGTGTGGGACTGCACCAGAAAACGTTCTGACGATGGATTGGTTACCTAAGCTATGGAAACATCACCTTCCCATACCTAGGATGGAGAAATGGAAATGTGGTCTACAGCACTAAAAATGATGCCTATATGCCTCCCTGAGGCTAAACCATCTTTTACAGCAGTATCTGTTGAAGCAGAGACATGATGAAATTTCTTGTAAATTTATTCATTAATTTCTTATTTTTTAATATGTATGAGTGTTTTGCCTGCATGTATGTGAGTGTTTTGCCTGCATGTATGTAAGTGTACCTGTGTTGTGCAATGCCTGAGGAAGCCACAAGAGGTCGTCAGATCCCCTTGAGCTGGAGTTATGGACGCTTGTTGGTCACCATGTGGGTGCTGTGACTGCTGAGCCATCTCTCCAGTTCCCATGATGAAATTTCTAAGAAAATAAAACCATTAATGGAGGAAGGACTACTTATCCCCTTCAGGAGTCATTTGTTTAATAACCCAGTATGGCCTATGAAACCAAATGGCACTTACAGATTCACAGTAAACCAAATGGCATTTATAGATTCATAATAACTTTTAGGAAACTAAATGAAAACTCACCAATTACGAATGGAGCTTTACCAGAAACAGAAGTAATCAATAAATTAACTGCTTCTGGAACTACATATTTTATGACCCTAGATAGACAGGCTCTTTGCTATACCAGTAGCTCTGGAATCACAAGAGATGACAGCCTTCACCTGGGGAGGCACCCAATACAAGGTTCAAAGACTACCCCAAGGAAGTAAGAACAGCCCAGCAATAGCACACTCTGTATGGAGTCAACACTCAAAAACAATGTCCTGCTGGATGTGGTGGTGCATGCCCTTATCTCAGCTCTCAGGAGGCAGAGGTAGTTGGATCACTAAGAGTTCCAGGCCAGCCAGGCTAAATAGTGAGACCCCCGTCTCAAACAAACAAACACAACAATCCCCAATTTTATTGAGAGTCCAGTTATGTCCTATATAGATGATATCATTTATGGAGATAACCTAATTACATTACAACAGGATAAGGATACCTTGTTAACCTCCGTTAAGAAACTAGGATGGGGGCTAGAGAGATAGCTTGGCAGTTAAGAGCACTGACTGCTCTTCCAGAGGACCTGTGTTTGATTCCCAGCACCCATATGGTGGCTAATGACTATCCATAACTCCAGTTCCAGGGGTCCTCTTCTGACCTCTGCAGGCGTTGCATGACATGGGTGCACTTACATGCATGCAGGCAACACAATCATACATGTAAAAATAATAAATAAAATATTTTAAAAACTAGGATGGAGCATTAATCCAAATATGGACCAGATATTTTCTTAAAATTCTTAGAAATAAATTGGAGCTCGGAAGGCTATAGATAAGATAGAGGCCCTGTCACGGCTAAGGACTAAGAATGAGAACCAGAAATTATTTAGTTTATTTGGTTGTTGGAGGAACTTTTTATCCCTTACCTACAGTTAACAGTACAGCCTATATATATGGTAACAGGGAAGGCTATAGAGTTTAGAATGGGGGATAGAACAGCAGGAAGCCCTAGACACCTGTAAAAATATATTAGAGACTTCAAACAACTGCATTATCCACACCTACAATCTAACCTTAAGCATAATTTGTATTAATGGATATGGAAACTGGGCATTATGGGAAACCCAAGGAAGAAAAAGGTTACTGATAGGATTTTACCACAAGCGCTTTTCTGTACTCAGAGAATACATACTCTCTATTTGAAAAACATATTTGAACCTTATTTGAGGCCCCAAAACATACTGAGCCATTGTGTGGTACTAGAGAGAGAAGCATCTGATGTGAGATACTCCTGTTCCCCTGGGTCAGGATGACTGGAGAAGCAATCCATGGACACCAATGGAATCTAAGGTGTTAACATGGAAGTGGTGTATCCAGGAGTGGAATAGTCAGCCTGGAACCGTGTTGTCAAAACTAGCTGAGGAAACAGCCACCTCTCAGATACAACTTCCTGCACTGAGCGGGGAAGGAATCCAGGCTCCCATAGGGTCCTGGGGCCCTGCCTGGTAGGGAAGCCTTATAAATGCTCCATTTACTGACGGTCCCCCGCCTTGGTGAGGAATGGGGGTCACACATTGGAAGGCTGCAGCATTCTGCTTGTCCAATGGAAAGCTTCTTACTGATGAAGGGACCATTGGGTCAGCACATGTTGAACTAGTTGCAGTACAATTGGCACTTAAACAAACTAGAAGAGGGAGCTCAAAAAGCATGTATACATTCTCTGACTCTTGATGTGCATATAATGAACTAGCCATATGGTCAGAAAAATGGAAAAACAATGACTGTACTGTAAATGGACAAAAAGAATTGGTCATGGAAAATTTACAACAAAATAGAAGAGTTCAGTATAAAACTCTTAGCAACTCTTGTTGGTATCCACACAAAGAATGACACACCCCAGGCTAAATCTAATGATGTAGCTGACAGAGCCTCCAAGGTTAATGCCTTTACAATGACCTTGAGGGCTGGAGAAATGGTTCAGTGGTTAAGAGCACTGGCTGCTCTTGCAGAGGACCTGGGTTCGATCCCAGCACCCACATGGAAGTTAACAGCCATTCATAACTCCAGTTCCAGGGGATCCAAAGTCCTCTTCTGACCTCCATGGGCATTGCACAACACATTTGTGCTTCCATATGTGAAGGCAATACACTCATATACATAACTAAAAATTTAAAAAATACTAAAAAAAGTAAAATGACCATGAGGAAACAAAATGGCAACACATGGAAAGTTAGGGAACCAATCCCCCAAATGAAAATTCAGATAAATCCTATTTATTATTATTATTGGTCTTTAAAAAATATTTTATTTATTTTTATTTTATGTGTATGAGTGTATTGCCTGCATGTATGTGAGTGCACCCATGTCGTGCAATGCTGTGGAGGTCAGAAGAGGGCTTCAGATTCCCCTGGAACTGGAGTTAAGGGCGTTCATAGCCACCATGTGGGTGCTGGGAATTGAACCTTGGTCCTCTGCCAGAGCAACTGGTGCTCTTAACTGCTGAACCATCTCTCCAGCCCCTATTATTGGTCTTTTTGAGACGGTCTCCCTGTAGCCACAGGTAGCCTGGATTTGCTATGGAGACCAGGCTGGCCTCAAACTCACAGAGATCTGCCTGCCTCTGTTTCCCGAGTGCTGGGATTAAAGGCCTGTGCCACCATGCCCGGCTTCAAATCCTAATATTATAACCCTGCCCATAACTAGCAAGGAAATACTTGACCTACATGAGACTAGGACTTACCAGCACACACGAATTGTCCCAAAGGCCATCCAAGCGCAACCTGCCTGCTAGTTGGTACCAAATAAGAAAAATTCTAAAGCATTGTGAACAATGTCAACAAACCACCCTCAAATTCAGACATAGGCCGATATCTCATGATAACCCTGACATCTTTAATTGTGTGCTACAAATAGACTGTGTAGGACCACTCCCTTTATTGGAGGAGTAAATACGCCTTGGTAGGTGCCTTGGTAGGTGTTCACGTGGGTTTAGGAATAGTAAATGCCACAGATAGCCCAAATCCAAAAACTGTTCTAGAACGCTATGGTCATGTGTAGCCTCTTTGGGGACCCCACTCATCATAAAATCAGATCAAGGGTCAGATCAAGGATGGACTAAAATAATACCATGTGGTATTACCTCATGTCAGGTAATCCAGCAGCATCTGGTAATATACAAGGGGAGGAATGGACTGATGAAGACTGAACTGGAACATGTGACCAAGCCTACACTACAAAGAGCATAAGGTATATGTGCCTATGAATTAGATTCTCAACCACAGCCATACGGAGATTCAGCTCGTGACTCAGTATTATTGTCCGACATGGCCACTCAACATCTAACCCCAACCCCGAAACAGATCTTCCTGACAAGTTCATTTGCAAGTCACCCAAGGATGATTCTCTCTCATTAAAGGAAATCGTGGCACCA